GTGATACAATTATAAGTGAGGGTTGTGATTCATTTAGGAACGAAGTCAGTATTTGGGGATTTAACTTGCGCTTTCCGACATTATGCGTATTTCGCACAAAGTTAAGAAAAAAATGTTATTCATTTATTTATTTATACGAAGTACGAGTGCATCAATCCTAACAAACTGTTACATTTAATATCCCCAAGCACCAATGCTCATGGAGTAATTACCAGAAACCCGATTTCTTTAAATGTAATCACTAACAGCAAAGATGTTTTCCATCTTGTAAAAAGGTGTAATGGCTATGTTAGTTTCTCTATAAATTTTCCCGTGGCCTGTACCCCTTATCGCCCCACAAATAGTCCGTACTGAGTGAGTGAGTTAAAATTTAATGTCTCGGCGGCATTATTTCAGCGTCCGTAATGAATCTTAGTCCTGAGATGTAGGATTGATACACTCGTACTTCGTATAAATAAATAAATGCGAAATACGCATAATGTCGGAAAGCGCAAGTTAAATCCCCAAATACTGACTTCGTTCCTAAATGAATCACAACCCTCACTTATAATTGTATCACTGTGTAGATTATTTTATATTTTACTGATGTAAATAAGGTTCCTGTCACTTTTTATGTACAATTCGTCAGTCACTCAACCACTATTATTTTCCCAAAAGATAAAAGATTGAGAACAGTTATCAAGATGTATATTCCATATATTTAGAAATACTTAATCTTTACAATGAAACTGCCATCTTGATGTATTATTCTGTATTGAATGACATTAGATATATGCTCCTATACCGCCGCTGGTGTTAATTTGCGAGAATTAAACATTTGGTTTGCACCCAACCATGCGCGTGCAAAATTAAACAGCGTCAAGCTTTCAGAGCACCAACTTAGTTTTCCAAAGTAGAAATTAAGCAAAATTAATATTTGTCAAGTTTCCTTTTGCTAGAACATATGCATGCTGTTGTGTTTTTAAAAAAAAAAAATCTTCGTTCTCTCTGTTGTTAACAATATTAAAACAACAAGTACTATAAAATATAGGGAAATATATTACATATAATTTACGCTTCCGGCTGCTCACAATACAATGCTAGTAACCAATATTTGTGTCCCAGGGAGTGATTACCAATTCGACCAAGCCGGCTCTACAGACACTGACTCTCTCAAAGACAGCAAGGTACATTATACAGTTAATTTAAAACTGTAATCTCAAACATATCTAATGCTACTTCAACACTTGATCATATACTTAGCAGTTGAATATTCTGTATAATTGAAATTAATCCTCTATTAGTTTACAGTGACGATACTTGTAGGCTATATAATGCAGGCACGACCCGTTATGTATCATTCGATCTTTATCTTTCTCACTTTCTTATAAAGGCATAATGATCGATAATCTCTTGTGTTGCCGTGTGGAATGTTAATTTATTGTGACTAAGGCTAATCCCTTTCTCCAGACATTAATTGATCACTCACCAACAACTGACAAGGGATTAATCCTCGTCAAGGCGGTGCTAAGTGATACAGTATACTGCAGGTTAACTAGACTAATGAGATTGTTTACTTTGAGTGTGGTGTAATCCGTTTGAGTGAATCTTCAAAAAGGTAAGCATATCCAACACTACCGGTAGCACCTGCCATTCACAAATAGTGTTATTCTAATACACTAATCATGCTATAATACTGACACGTTACTTCAGGGTTATCGGAATAGATTTGAATTTGATTTTCACATATTTTCCTCCTTTGCTCATGAGCATATACATGGATATACATGCATATGCATTATAAATTTGAAATGCAATTGTAAATAAAGTTGTTGTTTTTCTTCAGAAGAGTCGTAACCGAGTCCTCGGGATACGCCATCGCGACCTTCCCGTCCAGAAGAAACGGAGGTACGAGGACGCATTAAAGATAGCTCAGTTGATGTCCTCCGAGGAAAGTAACTATGACGAAGACGGCATAAAGATTTTTACAGTACGGCCAAAGAACTGCGAATCGACGGAACTGCAGATGGCGAAGAGGCTCGCAGGTGAGACATACATGAAGAAGCTGGACAGTACAGCAGCTTTCCCTAAGGCAAGACGTGTCCGTTGACAGTTCAGTTCAGTTTTATTTCTCTGAAAACTGACTGACTGACTGAGTATGGTTTTACGCCGCTTTTAGCAATATTCCAGCAATATCACGGCGGGGGACACCAGAAATGGGCTTCACACATTGTACCCATGTCGGGAATCGAACCCGGGTCTTCGGCGTGACGAGCGAACGCTTTAACCACTAGGCTACCCGACCGCCCCATTTCTCTGAAAAACCACCAAAGGTGGTACAAGAGTATATATACATATACATATACATATATATAGCAGATCAAGATGGTAACAAGCCTAAAATAAAAAAAATAAAAAATATAAATTAAGCAAATATATTAATATAAAGAAATTAAATTAGACACCTTAACGCAATAACGAGTTCAAATGTACGATGAATCTGGACAGATGTTTCAAAGTGGATATATTTTTAGGTGATAACGTTTTACCCAATTTACAAATATTTGGCCAGATATAACAATTCTATGGGATGTAAATAAGTCGTTGTTGGAGAAGTGCTTCACACCTAAAAAGATAGTGAAATTCGTCTCCAACAGCAGATGAATTGCATAGTGTGCAGACACGGTCTTCTCTCAGTAACCCTCTCCATCGGCCGGTTTCAATGGGCAAATGATGATTAGATGTGCGAAATTGTAAAATTGGCAAGTAGATAGTTTTGGGAAGTAATAGAAATATTTCGAATTTTGGTAATTCTTTTAAATGTTGGTAGTATAAAACTTTTGAACTTGATAGGATACATTCTCGCCACTTTTGAATAAATTGGTCTTTAAAAGTTCACTCGACCTTTGACACCAGCCATGAAGTAGAGCAAATAGATGGGTTTATGAATATTTCTGACAGTCCGACATCATTTAGTATTTGTTTACTGTAGCTATCCACTTAACGATTTGGAATATACGGTAATGAAAACGCCGATAAAGCAGCAAAACTCAAAATCCCAGAAATAAGCTTAAACTTACCCATCTCAAAATCAGAAATTAAAAGTGTAAACAAGCAAAAAATCACCAAAAAATGGCATTACCTATATCTAAACTGAAATAGCCAAATCAAAAAAGTACTCAGCAAACCACTAACCAAACCAAAAATTCTCCATCCGTCAAAAAAAATCGACAGAGTAACCACTAAACTCCAATCAGGACACACTAACCTAAATAGCCACCTAAATTTTTTTTTAAAAACACACTACAGGTAACTGCCCACACTGCAAACAACCAGAAACCCCAGAACACGCACTCATCCAATGCACACACTACCTAACACATCGAACCGCATTACAAACCACCCTCAATCTAAACAAGGCTCTCACTCTAGAAGCAATACTAAACCCACAAAATAAACTAGAAAACTTCAAGGCCTTAGGCGTATTCTTAACCATACGGAACTAATAAAACGCATCTAAAAACACAATAACCTACCAAATCAAAATCAAATAAACAAACAAACATCCACCATACCCAGCTCCCTTAGTTCTACTCCCCAACCCCATCGGCATCTATTCCAAATCTCAAAATTCCCAAATTCTATATAAGCAACCCCTAAACCCCCCTCTTGGGTTGCACAGACCACTTTCGCCCCTTTCGGAAACACATTAAATGGCCTGGCCGGGCCCGTGTGCGAAATACGCATCAGTCGGAAAGCGCACGTTAAATCTCCAAAGTAAGTAAGTAAGTAAGTTAATGCTACAGTTAGGAAGCGGTAACCAAGTTATATCTGTCGTAGAAGTTCAACCTGATACATGTACGTCTTGAATTGAAAACATAAGTCCGTCGGCAAGTCCATAACGTTTTATGGTGAGCTCTTCTCTATGCTTAGTGTTCAACTCCCAGTTCCAAACACGTTGTACCTCATCAACAATCCACATTCCTCTAGTGCAGTGATCGCCCGGAAGACCTTACTCTTGACCGTATTAGACAACTGACGAGTTCACGCCTGACCTGTGACCTCGTTACACCTCCCATGAGATGTTTGCCGAAGGGAGAGGGGTAGGAAATGTGTGCTCCAGCCCAGCGCGGAGCTCGCGACACACTGTATACTGCATGTTGTATACAGTATATTGCAGTTGATACTGTATACTGCATGTGATACTGATTTGCGGAAAAGCTGCAACTTTCAAGATTAACACGTCCCATTTTAATTCTGGAAACCAAAAAGTCCAGAAACTCTACGGTCTTTTCCCAGTCTCGGTCAAAGGTATTTACAAAAATAAGCATGCTGTTTTCATGGGAACATACCACGGACTTGTTATACAGGGAACATACTAAGGAAGAAAAAATGAAAAAAAAATAATTCAAAAACTCAATATTTACACCATCTTTTTGGCGGGAATATTTTCCTTTACACAAAACTCATGTTTTTGTTTCGCAAATACCTTTGTGTACCAGGTCGGCCAGCGTCTCCCACCAAAAAAGAAGAAGCTCTATGATATATATACAACGCAGAATCGATCAACTGAAGACCAGCGTAATTTTCTTTGCTGACTCAGTGTTTCATCTTCTCAAACTGTCTTAATTGCCCATGACTTTTACGTCTTCTTGTACATATACATTCTAATTATTTGTAAATAAATCAATATTCCACCTTTATTGTCTTTCTTTCGTTCGTTTCAAATCCATTTCCACTTTTTTACTTGCTCGAGTTGTTAAATAACACTCGATACCCATTGTTTAACTAGATTGGCGGATTAAAATATTCGCAGGACGACGACCTCACTTTTTGCCAGTTTGTTTTCATACGACACAGGGGGTCGTCGTCCTGAGAATGAACTCCTCAATCACTCTGTTTCGAATATTCAGCAGCAAAAATATATATTAACTAGCTGTGACGAGAGATATAAGATTTTTATAAGCAGTCAAATAGGGATGACAAAGGACCCCTCACTGATTAGGTTCTTGTTTACTTACGAGCAGAGTTGGCCAGGTTAGATGCAATAACGGTGTCCTCCAAGATCGCCTAATTTCTCCCCACAAGGAACCAAAATACAATAGGTGATGTGGGTATGCCATGCCTGGATGAGATTTATAAGTAGGTAATGTAGGTAGTTGGAACAGTCCACTTTACTGAATGAAGGGATGACAAGACAGCCAGAGATACATACATATTTTAATCAACCTCCCCAACCTCCCCAATCCCATCGGCATCTATTCCAAATCTCAAAATTCCCAAATTCTATATAAGCAACCCCTAAAGCCTCTTCCTGGGTTGCACACACCACTTTCGCCCCCCTTGGAAACACATTAAATGGCCTGGCCGGGCCCGTGTGCATCTTAGACTGGTGAGACATCTGTTAGCCCAGCCCAGTTCGAGGATAACCAGGCTACTCATATTTAGCATAGTTGGAAAGTGTGTCGTCTACTACCCCAGATGGAGCCATCTGGAAACAATCAATCACAAACCGTAAATCACCCACTGGCCCATAACCCCGACAGCTGAATGTCCGGGAAACAGAGAGAGTTCAAAAGGTAATTACTATAAATTGCTCAAAGATTTACCGTCGTTTGAAAAATACCTCCTGTTACCTGATTATTTTTCTCGACCTATTATGTCATTTCGGACATCGAATCATTATTTACCTGTAGAGACAGGCCGCTGGAAAAATATACCCAGAATCAATAGAAATTGTAACCTATGTAGCTCACCGGCGATAGCCGACGAGTTTCATTATTTATTTAAATGCTCCTTTTTTGATACCATGAGGTCACATTATATTCCAATTTGTCTTTGTAAATGGCCGAATCTCGCAAAGCTCAAGGTTTTGTTTACCTCAAATAATTGCTTAATCGTGAAAAATATCTCCAGAAATCTCCTTTATAAGAATTATTAATAATGCTGTCAGAAGATGAGTACAACACTATAATCTACAACTTACCAAGTGATCACTACAATTAATTGTTTATGTTATAGCTTTATTTGTATTGTTCCTGTACCACCTATGGTGGTTTGTTGGAATAAAACATTGATTGATTGATTGATTGCCTAAAAGTCGGGCCGGGCCGGGCCAGCGGGTAGTACTTACTTACTTACTTTGGAGATTTAACGTGCACTTTCCGACTGATGCGTATTTCGCACACGGGCCCGGCCAGGCCATTTAATGTGTTTCCGAAAGGGGCGAAAGTGGTCTGTGCAACCCAAGAGGGGGCTTTAGGGGTTGCTTATATAGAATTTGGGAATTTTGAGATTTGGAAAGATGCCGATGGGGTTGGGGAGTAGAACTAAGGGAGCTGGGTATGGTGGATGTTTGTTTGTTTATGCGATTTTGATTTGGTAGATTATAGTGTTTTTAGATGCGTTTTATTAGTCTCGTTTTGATTAAGAATACGCCTAAGGCCTTGAAGTTTTCTAGTTTATTTTGTGGGTTTAGTATTGCTTCTAGAGTGAGAGCCTTGTTTAGATTGAGGGTGGTTTGTAATGCGGTTCGATGTGTTAGGTAGTGTGTGCATTGGATGAGTGCGTGTTCTGGGGTTTCTGGTTGTTTGCAGTGTGGGCAGTTACCTCTAGTGTGTTTTTTCATTTTTTTAGGTGGTTATTTAGGTTGGTGTGTCCTGTTTGGAGTTTAGTGATTACTCTGTCGATTTTTTTTGATGGATGGAGAATTTGTGGTTAGTGGTTTGCTGAGTACTTTTTTGATTTGGCTTTTTGAGTTTAGATATAGGTTATGCAATTTTTTGGTGATTTTTTGCTTGTATAGGCTTTTAATTTCTGATTTTGAGATGGGTAAGTTTAAGCTTATTTCTGGAATTTTGAGGGATAGTTTGGCTGCCTTATCGGCGTTTTCATTACCGTATATTCCTACGTGGGCGGGTATCCACAAGAAGGTTATTTGTTTGCCTGCCTTAGTTAGGTCGTTGGAGCTTTTAAGTATTTGATTTATTAATTTAGGTCGGTTTTTGGTATTTTTATTTTGGAGGGCTTGCAGTCCACTTAAGAAGTCGGTAAATATTAGGATTTTTTGTGGTTTTTGGATTCTTGATTATGGAAGGCTGAGGCCATGCCCATTAGTTCTGCCTTGAATATTGATTGGTTGTTTGGGAGTCGGAAGGATTGTGTGGTTTTAGTTGGTTGTGTGGTATGGGCTCCGAAACCTGTGTGTTTGGAGGTCGGATCTGAAGATCCGTCCGTGTAAATGAGACACCAATTTGGCCAATTTTCGTGTATGTATGCTAGTGTGGTGGTTTGTTTATTTATTTGGCTAGCTAGTGTTGTGTCTATTTTGGGTATTTTGAGTTTAGGGGTGAAGATATTTGATTGTTTGACGTATTTACTATTTTTTATATCAAATATGAGGACTGTATACGACATACGTTAGTCTCTCAACGACGTTTCTACAATTAATATTTTGAATAAGCAGTGATATGCCAGTTGTGACAGGGATGATGGTATGGTAGCTGTAGCAGACAGATTGACAGTCGTTGTTACGTGCGTCACTAGGTAGTTAGTACGGCATTGACCTTGTTGATTGTTACTATACTTTGAGGATTACCTCTGTGGCCAGTGGCGGACGTAATTCAAACTCCTTACACACTGACACCGTATTTGATTTATTAATTTAGGTCGGTTTTTGGTATTTTTGTTTTGGAGGGCGGGTAGTACTAAAAATGGATTGCAGAATAATAAAACGAAACGCGCATATCTAGGCGGATCTCAAATGTCCACAAACGTGTAGTTTTGCTCATTTTATTGAGTTTGAATAAAAATGCACCTTCAACAATGTAATAAACTGATGATTATGACTACATACCGTGAGTCTCGTAGAAAAGTCAGTGTCTTGACTGTGTGTATTCTTTGATTAGAATGCCTTCTCACCGACCTTAGCGTGTAGGGGTGTGATGTCCTGAGCAGGAAACGACAGTGTTTTGACTACTCTTCTTTCATTAATTAATTAACGTGTTGGGCATCCCTAATTAACCTTTACTAATTCGTGTTAAACAACACAGGATGTTTTCTGGAAGTGGATATTCGCGAATATCAAAGGACTGACACGACACGTATTAATAACTGTCCAAGCACTTCCAAAGTTCCTAACATTCTTTATATCTAAAGACTAGTATTATATCTAATTATATACCACTTTAATGTCTTATATTTTAGTAGTTAAAGAAAACACAGAGCTCAAAGTGAAGCCTTTTTCACTCTACATTCTCAACATAGTCTCTATCAGAAGTGTTTGGCTTGTGTTAGGTCCGACTTGGCCCGGGCTGTCAAAGTCTTCTATAAGCACACAAATCTATCTTCAAATGTGTTTACATCTATAGATTACTATTAAATCTACCTATATACCTCTTTATAATGTCACGGTACATCGTATTTAAAGAAAACAAGGGTCTCAAAGTGAAGCCCTTTTCCCTCTACATTCTCAACGTAGTCTCTATCAGAAGTGTTTGGCTTGTGTTGGGTCCGACTTGGCCCGGGCTGTCAAAATCAACTTAAACCTCACAGATGTATAATCAAATGGATTCACATCTATAGATTACTATTATATCTACCTAAATACCACTTTATAGTGTCTCAAATCGCTGTACTTAAAGAAAACAAGGGTCTCAAAGTGAAGCCCTTTTCCCTCTACATTCTCAACATAGTCTCTATCAGAAGTGTTTGGCTTGTGTTGGATCCGACTTGGCCCGGGCTGTCAAAATCAACTTTAAACACATAGAAGTATCATCAAATGTGTTTACATCTATAGATCAGTGTTATATCTGCCTATATACAACTTTATAATGTCTCAGTACATCGTCTTTAAAGAAAACAAGGTGCTCAAAGTGAAGCCCTTTTCCCTCTACATTCTCAACATAGTCTCTATCAGAAGTGTTTGGCTTGTGTTGGGTCCGACTTGGCCCGGGCTGTCAAAGTCTTCTATAAACACACAAATCTATCTTAAAATGTGTTTACATCTATAGATTACTATTTAATCTACCTATATACCACTTTATAATGTCACGGTACATCGTATTTAAAGAAAACAAGGGCTCAAAGTGAAGCATTTTTACTGTATTTTCTTAAGAAAATCTATATCAGAAGTGTTCGGTCCGACTTGGCCCGGGCTGTCAAAATCAACTCAAACCTCACAGATGTATAATCAAATGGATTCACATCTATAGATTAGTATTATATCTACCTAAATACCACTTTATGGTGTCTCAGATCGCTGTACTTAAAGAAAACAAGGGTCTCAAAGTGAAGCCCTTTTCCCTCTACATTCTCAACATAGTCTCTATCAGAAGTGTTTGGCTTGTGTTAGGTCCGACTTGGCCCGGGCTGTCAAAGTCTTCTATAAGCACACAAATCTATCTTCAAATGTGTTTACATCTATAGATTACTATTAAATCTACCTATATACCTCTTTATAATGTCACGGTACATCGTATTTAAAGAAAACAAGGGTCTCAAAGTGAAGCCCTTTTCCCTCTACATTCTCAACGTAGTCTCTATCAGAAGTGTTTGGCTTGTGTTGGGTCCGACTTGGCCCGGGCTGTCAAAATCAACTTAAACCTCACAGATGTATAATCAAATGGATTCACATCTATAGATTACTATTATATCTACCTAAATACCACTTTATAGTGTCTCAAATCGCTGTACTTAAAGAAAACAAGGGTCTCAAAGTGAAGCCCTTTTCCCTCTACATTCTCAACATAGTCTCTATCAGAAGTGTTTGGCTTGTGTTGGATCCGACTTGGCCCGGGCTGTCAAAATCAACTTTAAACACATAGAAGTATCATCAAATGTGTTTACATCTATAGATCAGTGTTATATCTGCCTATATACAACTTTATAATGTCTCAGTACATCGTCTTTAAAGAAAACAAGGTGCTCAAAGTGAAGCCCTTTTCCCTCTACATTCTCAACATAGTCTCTATCAGAAGTGTTTGGCTTGTGTTGGGTCCGACTTGGCCCGGGCTGTCAAAGTCTTCTATAAACACACAAATCTATCTTAAAATGTGTTTACATCTATAGATTACTATTTAATCTACCTATATACCACTTTATAATGTCACGGTA